TTCTTTGGCAGCGTCACAAGCTGAGACTCTGTTGTACTCATCAGGTCATATGTCACACATCAAGATTTTCTTGGCACGATAGTTCTTTTCTATAGCTTTTCTCTCAATGTCGATGTACTCTTTTCTGCCTTTCAGCACCATTGGTCCTGTTTCTTCAAGCTTCTTCATGGGGACATATGGACAATCACAAATGATGTCCCACAGTTCTGAGTCTTCTGCCATCATAAAATCATTCATGCGGGTCTTCCACCAGCCATAGTACTGACCATTGAATCTGGGAGGTCTGTAGGTTGATTGTCCTTCCTCAAAGTTGGGTGGAGCAGCCATTGAGATCCTTTCTAGGTGTTAACCTTTTAGAAAGAACCTGCTCTGATCCTCATCTGTTAGTTTGTATGAGTCCACCCAAACTATAGAGTACCTAGTCCTATATGAGATAATGCTGAGAATACTTTAAAGACTGAAAGTAAAGAAGACAATGGATTTTTACGTGGAAAAATCCCACACAAGGGGATCAAAAAACCATGACCTACTCTTGTAGGCTTTTAACTTCACTAACTTGCAATCTCCCTATTACAAGCCACTTTGCAATAACCCTATTACAAATACTTCAACTAACTTGTGATGATCTCACCATAAGCCACTTTATAACTCTCCTAGTTACAAAGGCTTTAAACTTATGACTATTCCTAGTCACAACATAAACTCGGAAGTTTATAGATTTTTGGTTTTTTTCCTAAGACAAAGCTTCTAAGAAAGCAAACTAGGAAATACAATGAAGAACAAATGACAAGATTACAACTCAACCACGGATGTACATAAACTCAATAAGAAACTGATCCTTAGTGGAGTTGTCTTTTTGTTCTTGACAAACCAGTGACTTCAATGCAGGATGAACACTGTTATGCTTGAGAGAATATCACTAAATGTACAAAGTTGTTGTGCCTTGCACCAGGTTGTTATATCACAAAAGACATCACAATAGATAGTGATGTCAATTCTTGGTACGCGCTTCTTCCCAATGAGAAGTGACTGATGTACTGTCTGCACAACCACTTCTGTGCAGTTGCGTTCCAGTTGGATAGTCGACTTGTACTTCTGTCAGAGAACACTAACGGACCAGGTCCTAGTTGTGTTCCTCTTCTGTAATAGTTACGAGATGGTCACTTTCTGCTGTTACATTCTAGATGTACAGTTGACCTGTAATTCTGTCAGAGAACCCTAAGGGATTAGGTCTCTGTTGTGTTCCTCTTTATAATGATTGCAGACAGTCACTGACTTGTACTTGCGTCGGAGAACCCTAAGGGACCAGGTCACCAGGTCCCTGTTGTGTTCCTCCCTGTGGTCATTCATTCATTTGATGATTTTCAGACTTCGTCCAAGTTACATGAAATGTATACCCTATGGGCCAGGTTCTCTATCTAGTTTTTCAAAACAAGTTTGTTAGATCATCAAAACAAAAGAAGCATAAGGCCAAGACATTGAAAACCCATTATCATCGTTGAAAGATAAAGTTCCTGCTGGTATGTAATCCCGGATTCATTTTCCCTTGTGATTGATACTTTGGTGTGCTTTAATATCAGACCTTGGGGAACATCGACCCCTCCGGTGATCATATGAATGAAGTGTTGAGGTTTGTCTTGCTCGTTTTGTTTATTGGAATCCTTGTTTCTGAAATGATTCTTGGCCCGGTTGCTCAGAAATTCCCGAAGATACCCGTTGTTGAATAACCGGCTACCTTTTCTCTTGATTGTCGATAATCCTCCGTTCTGTGGCCATGAGTGCCATGATATTTGCATATTTGGTTGGGATCCCTTTGGGCTGGATTGATTTGTAAAGGCTGAGGCCATTTGGTATCTTTGATGCGTCCGATAGCCGATACAGCAGCAGCCTCATAAACATTAAAATTGTACTCTGATAATCGTGGTGCCTCTTTAGGTCTGATTGGTCTGTCGAAGCCATTCTTGCTCATGATCCCTTGAGAGATATGGCCTCGATCACTTCTCCTTTCATTTCATGTAGAATTTTGCCCGGACCCGCTGCTCCTACGATCTCCATTATACGGCTGATATCGATCTCTATTCAACCTCGGTTCTCGGTCAATATCCCTCTTGATTCTATCAACGGGTCTGATAGGATAAATGGACCCGGAAGAAGCCCTAAGTTGATTGACTTCGACCCTGAGCTTTGATTGATACCGATTAGGCACATCGACCCAAGTAATAGCCATACATTCTATCAAATTCTGCTTCAACTATTGTGAAGCCACTAAGTTTCGAACATTGAGTCCTTGGGTGAAAGATTGAATAGCCCAATCATCAGCGACCAGTGGCAAGTCCATCCGTTCCATTTGGAATCGAGACACAAATTCTCTAAGCATTTCGTTGTCCTTCTGCCTTACCTTGAAAAGGTCCAACTTCCTGGTTTCAACCTTGATGGCCCCGGTGTGTGCCTTTACGAAAAAATCTGCAAGCATAGCAAATGAGTCAATAGAATTAGGTGGTAAACTACGGTACCGTATCATAGCTCCCTTTGACAAGGTCTCTCCAAATTTCTTTAGAAAAACAAATTCGATCTCGTCATCCTCTAGATCATTTCCTTTGATAACACATCTGTAATAGGTGATGTGCTTGTTCGGATCGGTCATTCCATTGTAATTAGGAATCTCGGGCATGCAGAACTTTTTGGGGATCGGCTTAGGAGCTGCGCTCGTGGGAAAAGGTTTTTGCACAAATTTTTTGGAGTCTAAACCCTTCAATATTGGTGGTACCCTGGGATTTGATCGACCCTGGAGTTGTATGTTTCTACCTTTTTGTCATTTGCCTCGATCTTCTTTTCCCCCGACTCAATTCATTTTATTAGTTCTTCGACAATCTTCATGATTGTAGCATTGGTCTCCGATTCTTTCTCGTTTGATTTCCTTGAAACTGATTCGACCCTGTGTACAACTTTCTGGGACGGCTTGAGCTTGACCCTACTCGGTGGATGATTCTGGTTTTGGAGTTGGGCTATCGCTACCTGCTGAGCCTGCAACATTTCAAAGATCACCCGCATGCTGATCCCGTCATCTTCGCTGCCATGTGTGCTTTAAGCGGCTGATCGAACATCCCTACAGATGCTGCCTTCGGAATCGACAGCCAAATTTGCGTTGATGGCTACATCTGAGCCGACGTCGATTGGATCTACAGTCGAAACTACATCGAGGCCAACGGGAGGCACATCGTTCCCTGGTTCTAGGTTATCATTTTTGTCGTGGTGGCCGAAATCATTGTCAACGTGTAGAGGCGTTGGTTGAGAGTTCGACATTTTGGTCCTGGAATCAAAGATACTTCAAAGAACAATTGTAAAATAGTGTGTTATGAAAGTTTGTACCATGTAATCACTATTATCCTTAGCCCCACGGTGGGCGCCAAACTGTTTACCCCTAAAATTGGATAACAATTGAATTTGTACGCGGTTTTAAGGATACGTGATATAACTTGATACAAATTAAGAAGACGGATTAATATTGAAATTAACGATAAGAAAATAAATGCAAACCACAAAATTGAACCTTAGCCTCTGAGTTTGATCACCCACGAGCCAAGAAATGTCTCAACTAATGTTAGAACTGAACAATAAGATGATAAAAACCAGAAATGATCAGTATATTGCCTTCTTTGTGCATGTTACAATGTGTGCTACAAATGACCAGAACCCCTATTTATATTGTAGGGGTGTTCTACTCTTGGTATAATTTTATACAAGGTAAAAAATTTCATGATTTGCTAATTAATCGGCTTCTTCTTGATACGCCCCGAGATTTCCACCGTGATCCTCGACCGATTGCGGATATTTCGACTTTTCATTATTTGGCTCGGTAAGTTTCTCTCGATCTTGCTTGGTCTCTGGGTCACGAGCTCGACGATCTAATTTTGCGCTTTAGTTCGATGTAACCCGACCTCGAGCCTTGACCTGTCATGTTTCAGCTTCGATTGGTCAAACAATGGACGAACCCGATTTCGACCGTATACACCTGAGCCTGGAACTTCTGAGTAGTTCTGAGTATGATCTGCCACAAAGCATACATCTGATGAAGTTTTGGCAAAAGAACTCCTGAATGGACCACAGATGAATATCCGTTACAAGCATTTGAAAGATTGGGAAGAAGCTAGAAGAAATTGAGAAAAAGTAAGAAAATGAACAGTGATTCGATCTTGAAGAACAATATTCCCTACACTTTGCTTTGTCCTAACAGTGAGCTTGGACTTACTGGACGGGGAATTCCCAACAGTTTTTCAATATAATTCTTATCGGCCAGAGGGCCACATATAGGTTCTATGTAATTGAATCAATTGATTTATTGGCAAAACATATCTCTTTTATTAGCAATAGCATTAACAAAAGCTGAAATATAAATGCCGCTAAAGGTAATTATTTTTAACGGCAATAAAATAGGTTTTACCAATATTTGGCATAAATGCCGCTAGAGGCTTTAGGGACTTTGGATCCAATGGCATTTAATTAATTGCCGGCAAATATACTTTTGCAGTAATAAATATTGCCGCTAAAAGGAAAATTTATTGCTGCTAAAAGTCTCTTTTGGTGTAGTGAATATTATAATTTTTGTATGCACTTAAGATGTTCTTGTCTCAAGTTTGAATTGTCCAAAAACGAAACTTGTTCTTCAAATTTCAACAATGCAACACATCAAATCTGCTTCAAATTAGCTCAAATTTGATACATAGGTTCCAAATATCACATATAACAAATCACATTCATCAATTATTATTGAAACAATAATAAATATAACAAAACCATTTTGAAACTAAGAAGAAGAAGAAAAGAAACCTTAAGTAGTAGCAAAGAAAGGAGAGTTTCCGCAGCTCACTACCTTAAGACATCATAAATCACCTTAAAACCTGCTCACAAATGTTGTGTAAATATGCGGCCGCCTCTATCTTCACAACAACTAAGAAGAAACAGCTTGTCTACTTTGGGTACTAATAAACTTTTAATAAAATTAAGTACAAGTTAATTAAATAGGGGTGATCAAATAGGACATGTAGAATTTTTACCACAAGTAATGCAAGTCGGATGAGTCTTGAGTTATCGGTCCCGAGAGGTGGTTATATAGCACAAGTTACGCAACATGGAGAAAAAGAACCAGACTCCACACGAACAAACAAACTAGGTACGTAGCAGTAGACGCAACCTGTATCCTCTATGTCCATGCCAAAAGGAATTTTAATATGACGTTCTACTTTCATAAAGGACCATATAAAATGCAACAGAATCCTTAGTCTGACGTTTCTTATCACATGTTCAATGTGTCCCCCTAAACTACCTTCCAATTTTAACCAAACAAGAACCACACATATATACACACAAAAAACATAACAGCAAGAAGCCCCATGCACGTATTTATCAATGGCTGAACCATCTTTATCACAACGGTTGCCACCTCCACCTGTGCCGACGTCTTTGCCATCCCCACCACAACAACCGCCTCCAGCGGCTAGGCCAAATGTCGTCGGCGAAACGGCTCATCCAATACACAAAACCTTAGACACTGCAGCCAACATAGCAAACCTTCTACCCACCGGAACAGTCCTAGCATTTCGTATGCTAATTCCTTCATTTTCCAATAAGGGCGTCTGCCAATTCTCCAACAAGTTGTTGACTGCAACCGTCATCGGGTTCTGCTCCGCCGCATGTTTCTTCTCTTCTTTCACCGACAGCTGCGTCCTTAGCTCCGACGGGAAGTCGTCGTTTTACGGTATAGCCACCACCAGAGGGATACACTTATTTAACTGCGATAATGATCCCGAGAAATTGGAAGGAATAAACATGAGGAAATACAAGCTCAAGTGCCTAGATTTCGTACACGCATTTGTTTCTCTATTGGTGTTCTTGGTCTTTGCATTTTGTGATTCTGACGTGCAAACTTGTTTCTTTAGGCCAGGATCCAACGTAAATGCCTTGGTAATGAACCTGCCCTTAGCAGCTGGGTTTTTTGCC